ATTCTATATATTTTTTCTTGTTCCGATTGTGTGCTTTAACGCTAGTAGTGCATAGCGGACTGGCATTGTCTGTCTCCTCACCTTTTAAGTGTATTTAAAATAAGTGACTTAGGCTTTTGATCAATTGGGAAAAATTCGTCTTAATGTCCTTTAATTAATGAGCTTAAAAGAGATCATTGTCGCTTAAGAAGTGCTAAAGGAATACATCAGGATTACTTAGGCAAGTGATTCCATCCACACTGTGTTGAGTTGTTTTCTTGGCAGTGGCTGAAGTGCTTGGAATAAAACCCCACATTTTGGGTGGGTTATTTGGTAGCAGAGTAGTCGTTTTGCTCACTTAAGAAGAATGCAGGCAATAGCTAATTGCTGTTCTCATGTATTTGCTAATGACAAACAAATAGCCCATCAGAATTTACAATTCATTCCTTTTTAGTTTTGGCATTTCTTTTGCAGTATTTTCAAGCAAGGTTGTAGTTGTCACTAGGCACGTTTTTGTGCAGGGCTTTATTTTTTTTTAAAGGGGTCCGACCATTTCTCCATGCTGTGGTTACCATTGGGGAAAAAATCCAACTTTGAAACACGATTTGAATTTTATTCTTATTCTTTTATGGAATTAAGGAATCTGTGTGGATTCTTTAATTTTCTAGGAATAAAAGTACGTATTTTAAAATGTCAGAGGCATAGCCTAAACATGTCTTGTAGAATGACGCAACTGGTTAGATGTAAATGCATGAATTACTGGATGAGTTTAAAGATGTAACGTTTTGTCTGTTTGGGGGTCTGGGGAGGAAAAATCAAGGTTTGTAAGCCATATTAACCATGCATATCTCAATTTTTCAGAGGATGGCCAGTATTTTCTAAAGGTCCTCATACCTAGTTATGCTGCTGGATCTATAATTGGGAAGGGAGGACAGACAATTGTTCAGTTGCAGAAAGAGACTGGGGCCACCATCAAGCTGTCTAAATCCAAAGATTTTTACCCAGGTAGGTGCAAAAATTAGCCAATTATTTGTTTTTAAATCCCAAGGGATGTATGTACATGTCAGTGTGCTTCATGTATTGACGACAAAGCTTCCAGAGCTGGAAGCGTTATTTCTCAGAGAAGTCTGTTGTAAAGTGCAACAATGAATGTAAATGTTCTCTCCGTCTTGGTGCATGGAAAGCACCAGGCTCTAACTGCTTGAAATATGTTTAAGGATGTTTACAATGTTTATGCAAAGAATATTTTCATTGACATTTTGATTGCTTTGTTTTTTAGTGTTAAAAAAAAAAAAGGTAAAAGTCTAGCTTTAAGGAACCAACTTGACAGCTGGCGTAAAAATAATTGTTCGTTTGAGTTTGCCAGACATTGTAATGACAATTAAGCTAGAATGAGTAAAAATGAGAGGCCTCCTCTTAAAGAATGGGCCATTTACTTTAAATCCATTATGTACCTTCTTTCTGCTTCACTGCTTTGTTCACTGGCTCTGGAGTGAAGTAAAGAGGATAAGTGCTGCTCTTTAGATATTCTTTATATTATGTTTATCACGATGGTTGAAGAAAACTACTATAAAAGTGAAATACTTTGCATGAATAAAGAAATGAGTGTCTTATCAACTGTATTAATGCACGAAAAAGAAGTTTTAAATATTTGCCTGTAACAATAATAAATACCTGATTTAGCATTTCTCCGTTGTAAGATTTCTGAAGAGGGAGTCTTACATAATGATATACAAGATTTTAGCTTCTGCAATTGCATATTTTTTTTTCCTAAAGATGAACAAATTACCTTTCTGTAATTGAACTTTGTTCTAGAGGACTTTCTAAAAACTAATGTGAAATAATAATACAGCTAACACTTTTTGGTGTTTTGATTTTGTTATTTTGAAGAATAACTGGTGATTTAGACTTTTTTTCTGTTGGAAAAATAAGTGCTGCTTTGCATTTGATGTAGTTTAACGAGATGACCGAATTCTATGAAATAGTGAAGGCAGTTGGTATGGATGTAAACAGAACACTAACACTGGAGCATTTAGCTTTTCCATCCTCTAACTTTAGTGTCAGGCAGAAGTGGGTAATTTTTTATTAACTGAGAGATTGTGGTCTATTTAAAATGATGATTGTTGATGTGGAAATTGTAATGCACCTGTTGTACATCTCCTTAGTAAATGTAGTTTATAATACTTAAATGTTGAAGTGATGCATGTAGTTTTTTTTCCTGTTGAAAGATACAGGTTATGAACTGATGCTTGTTGTCTTTGAGTTTTTTTCTATTTTTGCTTTTCATTAGAAAGTTAGAAAAAATGATCCTTTATTTTGAAAGGTATGTTAGGGTGGAAAAAAAATCAATGTAGAATTGTGAAAACTCTTGGAAGAAATAAAAGCATTCAAAAGAGCCTGATTGCAGAATTAATAACATAATCTGGGTAAAGAGCCGCAATAGTAAATTAAATTCACTGTCAATAGATGAAAATGAAATAGATTTTCTGCATTATACATGAGGTGGTATCAGATATGCAAGGATGTTACAGAAAATTGGTGTTTATGAAGAATATTCCAAATACTAAATTACAAGCCTTTTCATTTTACTACAGTTTATTTACACTCACTTGGAAAGGACGCTCCAAAGATTAGATCTTTTGTTCACTGCTCTAGCATAGTTCTTCTGTTTTCTGATTAAATCAGAATTACATATCTTTTTGTGTAGAAAATTGTAAAGATACAGCAGTACTAGCAAAAGAACCTTTGAAAAATAAAAATTAGCAAGCTAGAATGACTGAGTAAAAATGTTTGTGACATAAACACGTTCTCTCTTAAAATCAGCGGTAATAATATAAATAACTATGGCAGGGAGGCTCTCTGTAACAGGTGCAAATTAAGTTCCAGTTTGACTTCATACAGTCTGCTTTGAATTTGTAGCCACGTTGTGTCATACAGAAAATGAGTGTTTTAAGGAAGTTGGCGACTGATACCTGCTAAAGCATGGAACCAGGGATAAGAAATGGATTCAGCGTGGCTAGCCCTCGTTAGTCTTTCTGTTTGCGTTTGACCACCAGCCCATGGAATTTTTGGAGGTCCTGGCATTCCCTGGGCTGATGGCTTTTGGGTTTCTTCCAGACTCTTGTGCTCATATAGCATTAGGCAATACAAACCTCATGAAATAGCTAATATAAAGATATAGTTTGTTTTTCTTACAAAGTTTCTTAGACAATTATTCTGTTTTCCTAATAGAAGTTACTTCATCCATACCTCTGATGCTTATGACTATAAATGTGTTTAATGTACATTTTGGTATGGAATGTTCTCTCGCCAAAGTTTCTGTGAAACTTTTCTCTATTTCCAAAAAGTTTTAGCACAGTCTGAGTAAGTTTGGGAATGAAGGAAGTTGGTTGTAATGCAGAAGTCATGAGCAGTTCCTATGATCTAATAGTGTTCTTTTTTTTTCCTCTGTGATATAGGACTTCAGTATGCAGACTGATTTCTGTTGGAATTATTTTTGTGCATCAAAAGGTGACATAATTACTGAAGAATTTTATGGCAGCTCTAATTACAAGAGATTGAAGGCAGAAACAGCTTTGCACTGAACATTTTAGTTTACAATATAGGAAGCAGTATATAAATACATTACTGTCCACTACAGTCTTATTTTTTGAGTATGCGATTTATTGTTCTCTTTTCAGGTTACCAGCTGACTTTTTCTAATTGTCTGGACTTCTGCAATTTGACTTTGGTTATTGTGCTTAGATTATCCCTGATTCTTTTCTGTTCAGGCTTGTCCCCCCTAGATTAGTGGAAATGATATTAAAATGGCAAAATATGCCCTACTTTTAAACTAAATGGTGCTGATCCTTTCTGCAGAGAAGTACAGAGTGTATATTGACTAGTAGGTTCTGGTCCGAAATTTAAATACAGATGTAGCCATGCTACTTTAATATTAATGAAGTGAACTTCATAAAGAAAGTGGCTATTCTGTGAAGCTATTTTAATGTATGGTTTTATTTTGAATAATATAAAAAAGAGTTTTCCTGTTGTATTAAGCTCTTATTGTCTTATCTGTTTCTCCATTCTGAATTATAGTGAGCGCTGGACTGAAAACTACTCTGGACATATGTGTATTTTTCCATTGCAAATGCTGGCGCGCACTCTTGCTTGCTTTCTCTCTCATGCAGTCTTGCTTTCTCTCTCTCTCTGTGCTCCTGCCCCAGCCTCTCACATACACACACACACACGCATGCACACACACACACAAAATTACGTTACATCGCATCACGTTGTTTATCTTGCAACAGGATCTTGCCTGGTCTGAACTCGGTGCTTGAGTGAATTTGAGCTCGGTCAGTGTTTTTCAATTTATTGGAATATGAAGTCATATGTGTACTGAAATCATATTAAGAACAGAGATGAATAAAAACATAATTAAATGGGGATAAGGTTTTACTGCTTTTAACAACAGATTAGGCATGTTGTTTTGATAACAGATTTCTAATCAGTAGTGATCTAAATGTTTGGACAATACAAAAGGTGGGAGGTTCCTCCCCTGCCTTGTGTAGAGAGTGTGTGAAGTGTTGTGTGTCTATGTTATGTTTTTACCAAGTGACTTGTGTTTGAGATATTTGTGTTTGAGTATCAGATTTTTTTGAATCTTGTATTACAGGAGATAGTCTAACTAATCTTTGTGCAAGTGTCCTTTTGAAAAGTCTCTTTCTGACTCTTAAAAACCTTTCAAACACATTGAATGTCTAAGTAACACAACTTTACAGGAATTTATAATTAATAAGTTCAATTTCTAGCTTCATTACTCCTATTAAACTGTTAGGAAGGGGGAAGGTATAATATATCAAGCTTGGTTCACCATTATTATTTCCTTTAAATAATAAAGGAATTGTCATGTTTATTTATAACTCTTAAAAATAACCTGAAGTTTAGTAGGGAAAAGAATCTGTTTTAAAAATCAACACTTAAAATAATGTTGGTAAGTGAAATACTACTTTTTCAGCTGTGGAAGACAAAAAAAGAGTAATGGCGAGAATGGCATCGGTTATTAGCTGCCTGTTGTCATGGTTCCTTGAAGGTGGTTTGACATACATCAATAAATGCATCTCACTTATTCTTGATACTCCTAATTTTTCTGAAGTGTTAACATTAGCTAATTAGAGACTTCCTAAGTATGTATCTGAGATTTTCAGATTCTGTTGTAAACATTTACTTCTATGAGTAATTTTGGGGATAATGGGACTGATGAAATGACTACATAGTGAGTAGAGATTTCGGAGGTGGTATCTAGAGCTGTGTAGATTTGTAAAGTAATCACTGATCTTTCTACTGGTTTCAAAAAAAAAAAAAAGGCCAACCACCAAAAACACCCAAGTGTTGATTGCCAGCTGTTCAGAGAGATAATTCTCAGTTGGACAGTTGTCTGTTGCCTGGTTACTGGAACAGAATAAAAAAAAAGTTAGCTTGTTAGCCAGCAGATCCTTAGTATTTTACATTTAAAAGGAAGCTGAAACTGAATATGTAAGTTGGTATGATCCTGAGATTGTTACATAGCTAACTCACCCGGTGTACTATCACTTAGCAGCTTCTCATTTGGTAGGCTTAGAGAAATTTTGAGTAGAAGCTTTGCACTGATTTCTTATACATGTAGGGACTTATTAATGTTAATGAGTGAATAAACTTTGGCATAGTAAATGGCTTTGGTTTGCAAGAAAGTGCTGTGTCTTTGTCCTGTGTAAGAAAGGTCTGAAGCAACTTGTGATAGATTTGGAATGGTTAGTCTAACATTAATAAATGATACAGACTAACTGTATGTGCACTTCATTGGCGCAATAAAGAACAAAGTGAGAATGGCTGTTATCACAGGGAAATGCCATATTGAATAATTTTCAACTTTTTTCTTGTGATTGCTTTTGACTAGTTTACAATATAATTGAAAACCGAATGATTCTCAGTAGATTAGAAAGCTTATGAAGGTGCTTCTAGTAACAGTATTGTGTTTTGATAAAGTT